ACGTTATGATTTTAAGGGATTAGGCGAGAAATTTATTTGGCTGTCAAACACAGATGAAAAGACTTTTAACCTTTCTGCCAAGCTCCGTATCTACCAAGTAATTGAAGTCATCACAAAGTCAACATTTCTCATACCAAATGCCTGCAACTCTGCCATGTGTATGTATGTGTTCACGTACAAAGTCAACATTTCTCATGCCAAATGCCTCCAACTGTGCACGTGTTTGTGTGTGTACATATAGCAGCTAAAAGCCACACACTCTGGCTGATGTCAAGATTTACTGGCTAATTGGACAAGGAGTCTGGCTAACATCAGAAACACACCTTCTAGCTAGCCCCACTTAGCTCATTCATAAAGCTGCTATTTCTACTTTCTATGCACAACATCCTAGGTTTAAAAGGAATGTCCTGGGCAGATTGGTTCACACCCAGATATCTGTAGAGTAAAATTTTTTAGCTCAGGCTCTTGTAACTTTGAACATATGATAAACACTAAATTTCAGTCAGAAGGGACCTGAGAGAAGTTTGATTCTAATTCCATTGTTTATCTGAAGATGTAAGTGAGTTGCCCATGGTCACACAGTCAGATAATAGTAGAGCTGCCTGCAGCCTTATTTCCTCTCCTGTCCACTCCAAGGATGTGGATGGGTCAGGGTCAGAAGGTGTCAGCCATGCTCTGTGAGGGCTGAGGCTGGACTCTCTGGGGGACAGGCTGTCCCCTCTCTTGGTGTGACCGAATCCAAATGGGGCAAAGCATCCCCTATCCTCCCCACCCTTAATCAATTAAACTTACCCTGGGTACCATAATTCTTAACTATGGATCTGCTGATGAGACTCAGAGTGGCTAAAAACAGGAATTCTCTCTATGGTATCCCTGACAAATGGTTATCCTTTCCTTGCCTGAAGACTTGCAGGGATGGAGAACTCCCTAGTCCCTGAGGTAGTTTTTGGACGCCTCTAATTGTTAGGAAGGTTTTCTCTCCTTCAAGCTGAAACCTGCCTTCCTGCATCCTCCCTGCCCTGCTCCCATTTCTGTCCTCTGGAGCTCAAGGTCACACAGCGAGGAAGTGGTGGCGCTGAGACTGAAAGCCCAGTTGGACAACTTGTTTCTCCTCGTCCGAGCCTCTCTCTTTCTTGTTAAGGCTTCTGTTTTTGGTCCTGGACTTTGAGGTTAAATTCAGTTCACACTTCAGCCTTTTCATCTTTCTTACCCTGGGTGGCTGTTCTTTTTTGAAGGTCCCAGCAAGGGCCTCCCAGAAGAATGGGACAAACACTTGCCTGGGTTTGCCTTTTCACACAAAGGAACAGTGCACTATTTTAGGACCAAAGCATCCCCAACTCCTCTGCTGGCGTGGGAGATTATTTTTTCTCTGGCACACTCATAATGCAAATGATACTGTTTAAAAACAAAGAAACCAACCATCAGAACCATGGAGGCATTGAGCTAAGAGGAAATTCTCATGTGAGAATTCTATGGCATTGTTAGTGTTTGTCTTGGAACCAATAGGAACCCTGGTATGTCCCCCCTGCAGAAAAGAGCAAGACTCTTGAAGAGGCAGAGTCTGGCTCAGGTAACCTTTCTGCTTCCCTTCCCATTGATTGGGGGACAGAAAAAGCTCTCATTGGCTTAGACACTTCAAACATCTCATATCAAACACGGGCAATGATGCACGTGCTTCATCTAAAAGGCAAGCTCTGGCTAATGTCCAGATACACCAAACACCCTCAGGATTGGCCAGGGAGTCCGGTTAATGACACTCATGGAGTCAAGTCAAGCCTAGTCACATGGATCATGTCCATAATGGAGGAGTGGTTGTGTCTGCTTTAGATAAAGAAGGCTCATCATTTAAACCTTTTGAGATAAGAGAGACAGCATGGGAGAGTGAAAGGACTACAGTTTGGGGAGAGGGTCAAAGGGCCTGGGTTCAAAGTTCACATCTATTACTTACCAACTATTTGATCTTGGAGGAAATCATTTAATTTTTCCTCCTCTATAAGATGGAGGCAGCATGTGACAGTGGGAGGATTACAGTTTGGGGGGGGTCCAAGGGTTTGGGTTCAAAGCCCACATCTATCACCATCTGTGTGACCTTCAGGGAAGTCATTTAACCTTTCTGGGTCTCAGTTTCTTTCTCTGTAAAATGAGAGTCTGACTGACATTTAAGGTTACTTCTAGTGCTGAGTTCAAGACCTTCTACGATTGGAACCCTTCAGACCAAACAAACATTGTATTTGGAGAGGCAGCCTCATACAGGGGAAAGAAAACTTGGAGTCCATTTGGAGATTGGAAAAAACCTGAGTTTTGATTCTCACTCTACTGCTTACTAGCTCTGATCTTCAGGAGGTCATTTCTCTGTACCTTAGTTTCCTCTTTTGTAAAAATGAATGGATTGATGGTTCCTAAGATCTGGCCCAAATGAAACGTTCCATTGGTGAAAGTCTATTTTTAAATGCTGCTGGCTTTCCCCATGGTGCGGGATCCCTCTCCACAAATGTTAGAAGTCTTAGATTTAGAACAAAAAGAGGCCATCTCATCCAGCTCCTTCACTTTACAGATGAAGAAACTGAGGGTCAGAGGGGTTAAAAGTGACTTTCTCAAGGTCACACAAGTCACAGAAGCAGGATTTGAAGCTGGAGGCAAAAGTAATATGGGACTCTGACTCAAGCCGTACTACACCACACAGCCTTGTGGCGAATATGTCGAGGGGAAACAGGGTAACCTCAATATTAATGTAATGATGATAAAGTGGGAATCCAAAGATAGATATAGGAAGCCTAACTAAGCCAGAAACTATAGCTTTTGGGGCTATTTTCTCTTCTTTCTCCAACTTAATCCTATTCAATTAGCATTTATTAAGTGCCTACTAAGTGCAGGCAGCTAGGTCAGGGCCCAGGCCTGGAGCCTGGGGTCAGGAAGACTCTTCTTCCTGAGTTCAAATCTAGCCTCAGACGCTTACTAACTGTGTGACCCTGGGCAAGTCACTTATCCCTGTTTGCCTCAGTTACCTCATCTGTAAAATGAGCTAGAGAAGGCAATGGCAAACCACTCCAGTATCTCTGCCAAGAAGACCCTAAATGGGGTCATGAAAAGTTGAACATGACTGAAAACAAACAAACAAACAAATGACTGAACAATAATGACATATACAGGACTTGATAGTGTCCCACCAGAGATAGAAAGCAGTCCCTGCCCTCAAGGAGCTTCCATTCTACTAGGGGATACAATATTTACACAGAGATAACTAGATAAGAATTTGAAAGGGGAGAAAGAGTTACCAACCACAAGTAGAATCAGAAAAGGCTTCCCACAAGGAGCCCCCAAGTGGAAGGTAAAGGTGGGGAGAGAACATATCTCAGGAATGAAAACACCTAGGTTTAGAATCATGGAAAGGGCAGGCTGAGTTTAAGTAATGGCAAGTGGGCCCATTTGGTTGGAATGTAGACTTCTGGAGAGGAAGGAATGTGCCCAGAAAGGAAAACTGAGGCCAGATGTGTGAAGGGCTCTAAATGTTAAGATTTTATCCTAAAGGTGATTGCCTATGACAGATTTCTGTGAATTTTAAAAGCTTTTGAGTTGGGAAGTGCTGTGGTCATGTTTCCACTTTACTAATATTATTTTGTTTGTCTTTTTCTTTTCAGTCATGTGTGACTCTTTTTTGTTGTTGTTGTTATTTTTTAGGCAATTGAGGTTAAGTGACTTGCCCAGGGTCACACAGCTAGTAAATGTGTCAAGTGTTTGGTCTGAGGCTGGATGAACTGAGATCCTCCTGACTTCAGGTCCGGTACTCTATCCACTGCACCACCTAGCTGCCCTTTGTCTGACTCTTCATGACCCTATTTGGGGTTTTCTTGGCAAAGCTACTAAAGTGGTTTGCCATTTCCTTCTTCAGCTCATTTTACAGATGAGAAAACTGAGGCAAACAGGGTTAAGTGACTTGCCCAGGGTCACACAGTTAGTAAGTGTCTGAAGCAAGATTTGAATTCACAAAGATTATTTTGTTAGCCACGTCCAAAGGGTGGACTGGAGGAAAGAGATCAAAAGGAGGCTCCTGTCTTCTGCTGTGGATGACCTCACATTGATGCTGCTATTGGAGTATGTATGAAGTGGTCCACATGGCAGAACTCTGTCTGCAAATTGGCAGAATAGGCCTGCCCAAATGCAGAAAAAAAAAATCTTGATTCAGAGATTTTAAAACTGTAAAAGAAATTTTTAAAAATTGGGAGAGATTTATTTGAACAAAAACAATTAAAAGCAAAGACCAAAAAATTGAAATGAATAAAACAACATTTTTACTGTTAAAAAAATCATTCAGAATTTAGAATCCTGGAATGTCAGAGTTGGGAAAGGCCTTAGAACAGGGAATGTCAGAGCTGGGAGGGGCCTCAGAACAGGGAATGT